GCTGACCTTAAGGTTCGCAGCCCGATTCGTAACCACTACGCTACCAGAGCTCCTTTTTAAACAGCATAAGAGATGACTATTACACATGGACCTCATCAGATGGAATACACAAAAATGAAATAGACAGCTGTGGGAAGAGAAGGTGGAAAAGCTCCCTATCATCAGCCAAAACAAGGCCAGGGGCAGAATGTAGAACAGATCATCAAATCGCTCCTATGCAAATTCAGACTGAAATTAAAGACATTGAAAACAAGTCCACAAGAGCCAAAATATGACCTTGAATATATCCCACCTAAATTTAGAGATCATCTGAAGAAAAGACTTGATACATTAGACACTAAAGACCGAAGACGAAAAGAGTTATGGGATGACATCAAGAACATCATACAGGAAGAAAGCAAAAAGTCATTAAGAAGACAAGAAAGAAGGAAAAGGTCAAAATGGATATCAGAAGAGACACTGAAACTTGCTCTCCAGCGTAGAGATGCTAAAAAGCAAATGGAAGAAAGGAGGTATAAGAGCTGAACAAAAAACTTCAAATATCAGCTCGAAAAGACAAAGTCAAATATTACAACAAAATGCGAACATTTAGAGTTAGAAACCCAAAGGTATGAACATGCTCAGCATTTCTCAAGTTGAGGGAACTTAAGAAAAAATTCAAGCCTTGACTTTAATTACTGAATGATTATCTGGGCAAATTATTGAATAGTGCAGAAAGCATAAAAAGATGGAAGGTAAACACAGAGTCACGGTACCAAAAGGAAATTATTGATGTTCAACCGTTTTAAGAGGTAGCATATGATCAAGAGCCAATGATACTTTCTCTTCCTTTCTTTGCCATCATGTGACAGCTACTATGTTCCATCTTCACTCTTCTCAAAAGACTTTCAGGATTAAGACATTCATAGGCAAGAAACAAAAGCAGAATTGCCCCAATCCCCCAATGGATTTGAATGAAAACTGGTCATAAAATCAGATACAGGAGAAGACACTGGAGAAGAACCCAGCGGGGTCTCTAAGGATGTGATGACACAGAACATACTATACCCAGGTCCTAGCACTCTACCAGAGCAAGTTCAGGTTTGCCAAGATTGGATCAATTGAACATGTTTTGCAAAACTTCTTGTTTATTGCTTTATTTTTATACTTCCGCATTTAAAAAGGTTGGCTAATAAATACATCAGAACTTTGGTATTGGGGGTGTGTGTGTGTAAAAAGAGCCACTGATACTGAAGGAAGAAGTCCAAGGTGCACTGAAGGAATTGGCAAAGAACAAGGGCATTGGAAATTGATGGAATACAAACTGAAAGCTTTCAACAAAATGAGGAGGCACGGGAGGCTCTCACTCATCTATGCCAAGAAATTTGGAAGACAACTATCTGGCCAACTGATTGGGTACAAAGAGAGGTGACCCAATGGAATGCAGAAATCATCTAACAGTATTTTTGACATGATAAAGTTTTTACTCAAGGTATTACAGAAATGGCTGCAACCATACACTGACAGAGAACTTCCCAGAGGTTCAAGCCAGATTCAGAAGAGGATGTGGAATGAGGGGTTTCACTGCTGATGTCAGATGGATCTTGGGTGAAAGCAGAGAATACCAGTAGATGTTTATGTGTGCTTTATTGACTACGCAAAGACTTTCGATCATGTGGATCAAGAAAAGTATGAGTATTCTGAACACTTAATTGTGCTTATGAGGAATCTGTGCACAGACCAAGTGGCAGTTGTTCAAACAGAATATGTCAACACTGGATTGTTTAAAATCAGGACAGGTGTGTGACAAGATTGTATTTTTTCAACATACTTACTCAACCTGTATGTTGAACAAATAATCCGGGAAGCTGGGTTATATGAAGAAAAACATGGCATTTGGATTAAAGGAAGACTCATTAACAACCTGCAATATGCAGATGATACAACCTTGCTTACTGAAAGTGAAGAGGACTTAAAATACGTACTGATGAAGGTCAAAGAGCACAGCCTTTGGTATGGGTTGCATCTCAATGTAAAGAAAACAAAAATCCTTACCACTGGACCAATAAGCATTCTTATCAACAGAGAAAAGACTGTAGTTGTCAAAAAGACTTCATTGGACCAACAATCAACACTCATGGAAACAGGATCCAGAAAATCAAATGACACACGTTACATTAAGGCAAATCTGCTGCAACAAGACCTTTTTAAAGTGTTGAAGAGCAAGGTGTGCCTGACCCAAGCCATGGTATTTTCAATAACCTCATATGGATGCAAAAGCTGGACAGTGAATAAGGAAGACTGTAGAAGAATTGATGCTTTTGAGTTATGGTGTTAGAGGAGAGTATTAAAAGTTCCATGGGCTGTCAAAAGAACAAACAGATCTGTGTTAGAACAAGTGCAACCAGAGTGCTCACTGGAGGCCAGGATGGCCAAACTTCGTCTCTCATACGTCAAATATATTGTCAGGAAGGACGTCACTGAAGAAGGATATCATGTTTGGTAAGGTGGAGGATCAGAGAAAAAGAGGAAGACTCCCAGCAACATAGATTGGTAAAGTGGCAACATCAATGGGCTCAAGAGTGGCAACAATTGTGAGGCTAGCCCAGGACTAAGCAGTGTTTTGTTCTGTTGTGCACAGGGTGGCTATGAGTCGGTACTGACTTGGTGGCACCTAACAACAACAACCCCAAATCCTTCCCAACTTTAATACATCAAGGGAAGAGGAAGAGACAGGAAATGCAGCCTACTCACCACTATCTGATCCTCTGAGGCCAAGGACACGTTGCTGTCATCAAAGTAATACCATTTTTCATTCAATTTGTTCTTTGCATATGCAGTATCTGCCAAGTCAACCAAAAAAAAAACAAAAAACAGTGTAGCACTCACTCACACAACAACAAAACAAAAAATAATCCTAGAATTAAAAATATTTTGTGTCCTAACAACCAAAGAAGATCTCACCTTTTTATTTCTATCTATTCCCTCTCAAAAAGGATCCATAAAAGTAGGAATGGAGCTGTCATAGATAAAGGTTTTAAACTTTAATTTGGGGAACAAGGTTTCAAACGTGACCCCAATAACAGGAGCTGACACTTCTGAGATTTATGCTCTCCAAATATTGCAACTCAAATTCCCCACCACATCCAGACAGATGGCAACTGTCATCAGTACAAAGTCCTTGTTGCCTCTGTCATCTCTATGGTCCTAGTTAGGGATATGCTCTAGGGGTTAAGGTTTGCAGAGTTGGAATATGAACAAGAAGCTGAAAATATATCTTTCTCTACAAAAGTTTGTGATGTGATTGGATAACAAATCCTCACAATGATACGTGTTTCCCCTCAACCAACCTTCCTGCACAATTTTACAATACTTGCAAGCAAGCAGGAAGTGTTTATAATAGGATTGCCAAGAGTAATCTCCAACAATCTGCAAAACACAATGGTTCTAGTCTCATCTAGTCAGTGTTTGGTGTAACAGCAGCAATGGTGGGTTTCTAACTCACATTCTAACTATGGGCCCATTGTGGGGCTAGGCACTAGACCTCCAACACAATGTCTAATCTCACCCATGAGAAAATTAAGACACACAAGAGGTAGGTATACATGTTAAAATAGGAGTTAAAAATCAAAAGGGGGAAAAACAACAAAATTTCAAATTCTAAAGGGCTCCAGACTTTCTGGAGCCATGAAGGCTGGATGAACACCTGAAACTAATCTCTACTCTAAACCTTAACCAAAAATATCTCCTGAAGTCCTCTTGAAACAAACAAGTTTAGCTTAATTAGTAAAGAATGTCTGCATTTAGCAGTGTGCTCTTTCAAGACCTACCTGTATGGCACAAAAATGACATCAGGAATGCAAAACTTAGCAACTTTAGGAGTAGTGAATTTATGTTAATGGAGAAGTGAATTTATGTTAATGGAGAACTAAGAAAAGAGGGAAGAATGGTTACACAAATTGAATATAATCAGTGTCACTGACTGCACATGTAGAAACTGTTGATGTATGCTTTGTATATTCACAACAATAAAAAATTTAAAGGGGAAAAAAATTATACCAGACCAGTATGCATGAGCACAAACATTTACGAAAATTAATGTTTTGAGAAAAAAAATCCAGAGTGCTGCAGACTATGACACAATCAGAGATCGCTGATAGCCACTCCAGCAGAATCCCAATCTTAAAAAACAGGCACAATTTTCAATCCTAGTATATAAAGTCTATAGATACACTGAGAATGGTGGGTTAGCAGTGCCGAAGCAGCCTAGAATCTAAGGCCTGTGGAGCTGTACAAGTGGTGCAGAGGGAGACATGATAGCTGACTGGCCAAGGATCTTTCAACATTTCAGAAGGAAGCAGATGCCAGTACTTACAGTGGCCAACCCCCATGGCTCCATAATGATTGGACACGGCAATGAGGTCGTACACATAGGGCCTTGCTGATAGGTCACAGACAAACTCGGACATGTTGAGAGCTCTGAGCACAAAACACAAAAATAGTCCTTAAATATGTTAAACTCTAAGAAAGAAGTCAGAGCAACCCAGCAACATCTTTTATGCCAACAGGCTAGAACTGAGGGAGCCATTCCAAAACTAGCTGCAGAAGGAACAAATACACATAACATGACAGAAGGGGACCTGGGGTCTGTGTCCTTGACCACTGACACAGTTATGCTTGTTAGTCATCGCATACATGAGCCCTGGATATCCACAGATAAATGTAAAAACCTTCCCTAAAAGTTGAGACTGTAAATTCCAAAAAGGCAAAGTTTTTCCCCCCACACACACAAAAAAGCTAAAGAGGATAGAGAGAAACACTGTTAACTGATGATGTATGGAGGGGATTATAATCAATGTAATGAAACAAGTCATATGAATGGTTGAATGTGAAAATGATGATGTACCCTGTAAACTTTCACTCAATCCACAATAAAAACCTTTAAAAAAAAAAAAAAATTATCAGATATCTAAAATAGCTAACCCAACCACTTAAGATTCACCAACTGGCACATCCTGTATGTTTCATGTATCTATACATCCCCCAAGCAAGCCCCATACAATCTGTGGCAATTATGCTCCATCCTAGGGCCTGAGAATGTATGAGGAGCCAACCAATCCTGGCCCCCACCCCAAGATCAGGATTGTGGCAGATACGCACTCCCACCTGTGGTCCCCAGTAATAACAATTCTCCTTGGTAGACTCTCAAAAGACTACTATGAGCTTACATTAATAAGCAGAGTCCTGTCTTTGTACTGCATATGCTGAGTCCAAGCTCCCAAGGACCCGTGATGGCGGGAAGAACAGGCCAATTAGGTAGCAGGACTCATGAGGGGAATCTAGTGGAGAGGCTTTTTCCCAGAGGTGGAAAACATGGGGAGTGAGGGGAAAACTAGAAAGTCTAACTTTCCACACAGCCCAGCAACACACAGCCTAATGCAGAAAAGTTTTTTTTGGCAAAACCAGCAGCCAATCAGTACCCAAAATCATTGCCTGTTCTTCAGTTTTCTTAACTCTGGGGTCACTGAGAACTCACCTGACTGGGAATTCCACAACTGTGTCAAGTTTATCCCTCCAATATCTGTTATAGGAGAAACGCTTCAAGTGGACCACCAGGATCTTTGGCAAGGACCACAGGTCAAACTTCTTGGTGGCCTGTTGATGTTTCTTACAGTTGGGACAGTACCTAAAGAGAAAAGAACAATCTCCACTTAATGGGAAGTGGGGCCACAGCCACTATGGCACTCATGCATGGAGGCACGGTCAGAGTCCACAACATTGTCTCAAGCAGTGAACAGCAAGACTGCTTTATAACAGGGGGGGTCTCTGAGCTGTTGATAATGGCTTACTCGGGAAAGCAGAACTCATACAGAAGGACCTGTGCAGTACAAGAGAGGTCACCAAAAGAAAGTGACACCTCCTACTAAGGTTCTTGTGTGTACAGATGATCCAGCAGATCAGAGAGACCCAGGGCACAGGGCAGTGCTGCCAAGACAGTGAAGAACTGCATACCAGGGGTCATGCTCCCCGAGGGTCTCCATGGTGGTAAAGAGCTCAATGCAGTCTCTCAGGGCCACTGAGGTCTTCTTCTTCTTCTGTGGTTGCAACATGCTCACATGCTTCTCATAGGCCTGTAAGGAACAAAGCGCTGAGTTCTGTCTGGGAAACAAGATCTTATTAAACCTAGACTCAACAGGCTTTCAGAGGATCTCACACCTGGAATATGCTGTACTACCTAGAGCTGCTGAAAATTACATTAAAACTTTAAAAAACATTAAATAACATTTTAAAGTACTTTCTACTCCCAGTTTGAACTCTTGTGATGTGCCATCGAGTCGTTTCCATTATATTTAGGGACCCTGTATAAGGGTTTCCCAGGAGCAGAGCATAGGTTTGAACGGCTAACCTGAGATTGCAGTCCAGTACTTATCCTACAGTGCCACAGTTAAATTGCTGTCAGACTGATAAGAATGATCTTGATTTTTATACTGATTCTGATATTAGAATTCAGTTCACATTTATGACCCAGAATTCCGAGTGACCTACTTCAGACTCCTGCTCATCATAATAAAGGTTCCGGGTCTCATTGTCCCAATCAATGGCCAGTGTGGATCGAGCTGTGGAGGAAGAGCAAAGTGGCATTCATTACTCGCAGGGCGTTTCACTTTTGGGGAAACTCTAGGTGACAGGAGTAAGAATACTCTGGCCATGACATGAAATCCTGTTCATCCATCACCTGCCATTGCCTCATCCCTCTACACCCTCACTAGAAGAGTTCCTTGATGCTGCAGTGCTGAATGTATCAATTTCTGAAAAGACATAGGTCAAAGTGGAAAAACAAGAACCAGATTTACCATCCTCCCTAAAACCATAAGAAAACCTGATGAGACAGATAGAACTTGTCAGGCACTGCATAATAGATGGAGCAGGAATGTAATCCCCAAGAGAAGGAAAGCAAACAAGTTTACTACCTGGACAGTTTCCAGGCCGCAGTATGAGAGAAGGGGAGGTAGCAGAGGAGACTGAGATGAGTCAAGAGATTAGAATTTGAGAAAGTGACTAGAATTTGTAAGGCACTGATTGTACTAGAGAGGGGTTAAAATGCACAGAAAGGAGAGCTAGAGAGAATGAATGACTATGAAAACAAAAATCTGCAGTGGGGTCCCCTCAAATATTGAGTTCACCTACATGAGAGGAAAATATCTACCCAAAAGCTAAGTAAGGAAGCAGGGAAAATGAGCATGTCAATAACCCCAGAACTCTCACGGAGCTAGGAACACTTTGTGTTGCTACCAGCCATAGTGGAAAGTCCTTGTAATATAAGGGACATTAGGTAGAATCCTGAGAAGGGTACTGTTTTAGCAATGAACTAAACTTGTCCTATACCAAAGGTCAACCAACTATTTTTGTTTACGGCCAGGTTAGAAATTTTAAAAGTTTTGTGGCCCCTGTATAGCCTGTTCACAGTAATCACCTCAACAGAGGTTATGACAAAGCAGTTGCCAATACAAAGTAAGTATGACTGTATCCCCACCCCAATTATATTTAACATTAAAATCTGACTTTCATATAATTCTGTCTCAAAACGTTTTTATTCTTCTTTTCAACCATATAAAAATGTTTTAACTATTCTTGGCTTACAGGCCATAGGAAAATGTGGTGGGTTGACTTCGGCCCACTGGCTCGAGTCTGGTAACTTGGTCCTAGACTAAAAGTTAGCTTGTGTTCCACCATGACACAGCTAAAAATCAAGCTGATAGAGAATTCTATTAATATCAAGTAACTAATTTGATGCCAGAACAAAATCCAATGTAAAATATTCAATATCAAACATCCAATAAATAATCACCAGGCATGTAAAAAAAAGTAGGAAAGTATGACCCAGAATCATGAGAAAAATCAATATAGGGAATGTTGTTGTTGTTGTTACGTGCCATCGAGTCGGGTCCGACCCATAGCGACCCTGTACAGGGTTTCCTAGGGTGTAAATCTTTACGGGAGTAGAAAGCCTCATCTTTCTCCCGCAGAGCGGCTGGTAGTTTCGAACCGCTGACCTTAAGGTTCGCAGCCCGATTCGTAACCACTACGCTACCAGAGCTCCTTATAGTAGATCCATAAATGACAGAGATGAGCAAACCATCAGACAATACATGAAAACAGTATTAAAAATGTTCCATATGTACAAGAAGGTAAAAATAAGATCACAATGAAAAGAAAACAAATGATAAAAAAGACTTAAAAGGAACTTCTAAAGATGAAATCTATATTAGATGAGATTAATGGCATATAGGTTCTATAGACTAAAAGATCAGTGAACTTGAAGATGGGAAAATAAAGCTATCTTTAAAAAAAAACACAGTGATTGGTTGTCTTTTGCATCCTGGTTTCCTTGGCATACCCACTGTTCAATAGACACAAGGGGGAGAGAAAGGAATAGCCAGAAATATCACCATAGAAAGCTTATAAGTCCGTCTTCTGCCTATAACTGATTGGAATACCTAAAATGGGGCTGCAACTTGCCCAGTGAAGGAGGCAGAGCCTTTGCATTGTATAAGACCATAGGTAGAATCCTGAACCCCATCCAGAATCTTCTGAGGTGGGAAATTTCCACTTGAAAGGACAAGCAGATCAACCTGGAGCAACTAGAAAAACAGAAGATACTTTTTGAAATAAAGACCAACAGGAAAAATAAAAATAATTACGGCAGTCCACCTGATTACTACAAGAACAAGCAACTTGATCGCCCAGGAGACATCAAGGCAAGTGGTCGGGTCCCATCAGAACAAACCCCTTCCAAGACTAAGACTCAAGGGGTATACATGAGCAGGCATGCAGTCTGACTGGTGACCACGGTGGTCCAATAAGGAGAAGTAAAGGAAAAATATCAATGAATCTGTGGGCTAAGTCCGACCATGTTCAATAGGCTCCTCTGAACCCAGGTGGAGACCTGGTTGGCCAGCAGTATGGCAAGACCTGGGGACTCCTGGGCCCAGAGTCAGTGACACAGCCACAGAGGACTAGAGTGGAAAATGAAGCGTCCAGCTGTTAAGAAGTGAGGGAATATGCACAAGAACACCCACACTTGCATATATTACCCACTTGACCTGGCTTCAATGGCTGGATGATCAGAACTCGACTAGAAAGAGAAAGAAGAGGAAAAAGAATAATCTGTTATAATTTCATGAACTTGACTTACATACATGGATGCAGTAGTTTAAAAGAGGGAATAAATCTGTACAGCACGATCATTCCCACCCCCTTGGTACAAAGGGTAGACAAGAGATGGGCAACTTGGACATTAGCTACCCAAAATGGGGGGCCTACAAAGGCAAGAAGTGACTGGTTTACAAGCTTTCAAGAGGGAGCTTAGATCCAGAGGGCATGGAAGAAGGTAGAATCTCCACTGAGAAGTATCTAATCTGTCTGGGCGGGTCTGATGAAAGGAGCTAGGGATAGATAGGGCTCTGGTGGTACAATCGTGAATAATTGCTATCAGGGCTGACTGTAAAATTTGGTAATATAAAGGAAGACGTTTTGTAGCAAAAGGAAGGGAGTGGTTAACTTTGCAGTCCAGGAGCAGAGGTCACTGGAACCATCAAGAGAGTAGAGCGGAGACCAGGACCCTACCCACAGAAACAGTGACACCAGAGATGGAGGCAGAGACAATGACCTGGAGAGATGGAGCGGCTGGGGACTCTAGACCCGGAAATGGAGAGGGGCTGTGTGCTGACGACAGAGGGGCAGGCTTGAAGGGTATACCCTTTGGTTGTCTGATGATTCATGGAGGAGATTATAATCATGGCAATGAAACGATATACGATAGGATGAATGTAAAGATACTCTTCTCCCATGTAAACTATCACATAATTCACAATAAAAACTTAAAAAAAAAAAGGAAGGCAGTGAGAAAAACCAAAACTAACCAATTCATCAATTTGATAGGATAAACATCAAGTGGTCTTAATATATAGGAATACGATTAGAGTCCTGTAAAAAAGAAAGGAGAAATAGGACAAAACAGAAAAAATATGTATAGAAATGTTAGTCAAACTTACAAATTTAATGAAAGGTAAATATTCACAAATCCATTAAGTCAATGAACCTCAAGCAAAATAAACACACATAAAACCATGTCAAGGGGCTATATCATCAAACTAGTGAATGATAAAGAGAAACCGAAGTAAACAGCCAGAAGAAAACAGACAAGGATAAAAGAACAAAAGAAAGAATAACAGGACAGCATCAGAAAATATTAAGCCAGATACTAGATATACTTTTAAAGTAAGAATAAAATTTTTAAAACCTCTCAACCTAGAATTATCTTTCAAATAAACGCAACATTGATTTCTTTCCTCATACAAAGAAAAGATCAAGGAAACCAACACCAGCCTATTTTGTAATATAAGAAATGTGAAAGGGGAGAACAAACAAGATGACGGACCGGGTGGAAGTACAGTAAGGAATTCCGTCAGCAACAACACAGAACACCCGACCAAGCAGGCTCAGGGGATGGTCCCAAAACTGTGAACCACATATAAAGTGGACACCCCAGCCCCACCCAGGGGGGGTTCTACTATGCATGTACACAAATCTCCTCGAAATTTAAAGACACAGTTTCCACTTAAAACCAAACAGACACAGCCAGCCCTGAACTATTTATAACTAGAAAAAAGGCCTGAACGGGGATTATGGAGCGGGACTAGTAGACAAAAAAGTTAATAGGCTGAAAATTAAATCCTAAATTACGTCAAAACGACTAACAGTAGCATTCTGAAATTTCTCAAGAAGAAGAGTGAAAAGGGAAGCCCATTTCCTGATCACATCTACCTGGAGGCAATCAGCATAAAAAATACCAAAATACATACCCATCTAAGTATTAAGGCCACAGATAACCCCTGAATATGCCGAAGAAACAGAAGCAGATGACCATATCTGCACATGTCCAGAAATAAGATAAAGTGATTGAGGCAAATGAGCTGGAAGTAGACCAACACTCCATACTGGAAGATGGGCAGGCTTTGGAAATGCCTGAGAAGGAATTCAGAAAAATGATTATAAAAGGTATCAAAACACTATAAAGGACAGGATCTTGAAAGCAGCTAAGGAAAAGAGAAACATAACATACAAAGGCAAGCAAATCAGATTAAGCTCAGATTTCTCAAAAGAAACCGTGCAGGCAAGAAGGCAATGGGAAGACATATATAAAACCCTGTAAGAAAAAAACTGCCACCCAAGAATCCTCTATCCAGCAAAGCTGTCAATCAAATACGATGGTGTAATCAAAACATTTCAAGATAAACAGAAGCTGAGGGATTTTGCCAAAGCCAACCCTGCTATGAAAAACATCCTAAAGGAAGTTCTGTGAACTGAGAGCCAACAAGAACACAAAACTACAGAATTATGTACGTGGCAGCATCAACCTGAACTCAGCTGACAAATGGAAGAGTCAAGAGCAGAATAAAGTTATAAGAACAGAGGATGATCAGGGAGGTCAGTCTATGATCAAAACAATTACAATGTGAAAGAAGGTAAACAGAGGAACAGAGATCCCGGTGATGGGAAGGTCAGGTAGATTATGGGATAAAATAGACTGTCTTAAATAGAGGAAAAAACTAATGGACTATAACAAGGTAACCACAATGGGGTTGGGGTTAGGGGATTTAGTTTGGGTGTTGGGGAGGGCAATACAAGAAGGGTGGAGGAAGCAGAAGAACAAGATAGATAGGGGAACACTGAGACAGGTTTGCATGGCCTATTGGGACAGGGGTAAATAGTGATGCATACTCAACCTTGGAACAACAGGACTCTGGGATACAGAGTTCTAGTAGAGCTTGAAGAGGGTAATAATACTAAAATCCTTGACTGCCTTATGAATATTCGTTTCCCTTGCCTACTATTGTAAAATAGACACTTGAGTGGGATAGAAAGGAATGTTGGGAAACATGATTAGAGACAACTTATAAGCCCACCTTCAGCCTATAAATGATTGGAATACCTAAAAGGGGTTCTACAACTTGCCCAGTGAAATAGGCCTCATGCAAAGCCTTTACAGATTAGGTGGAATCCTGAGTCCCATCCACAACCTTGTGAGATGAGACATTCCCACTAGAAAGGACAAGCAGACTGGAACAGATACGGTGACAGAAGATACATCTGCATGATGAACCTGACCTATACTCACAGCAGTAGTTACTCTAAATACCACAGAGAGGGAAATAGTCTTCAAATCAAGTATCAATGCTATCCGCTCTGTACACAGAGCAAATAGGGATGGGCAACTTAGACATTGGCTACCTAAAATGAAGGGCAATAAAGGCACAAAGTGACTGGCTTACAAGGTTTCAAGAGGGAGTTTAGTTTTGTTTAAGAGTATGGAGGGGAAAGAGAGTCCCCACTGAATAGATGTCATCTTGTCTAGATGGGCCTGGTGATAAGAGATGGGGATAAGATTCATAAGATTCAATAGTGAGTAACTGTTAGCATGACTAATCGCGATTGTCACATTGTAAAGGTAGATGTTTTGTAACCAAAAAAGGGGAGTGGTTAATGTTAACAGTCCAGAAACAGAGGACCCTAGGACCATCAAGAGAGGAATGCACAAGCAGAATGCGGGACCTTATCCAAAGAAGCAGCAGCGCCAGAGATGAAGGCAGAGATGAGAGCATGGCGAGGGGGAGTGGCTGAGGACTTCATCAACTAAGAAGAGAAAGACTAAGAGCTGGTGGCCAGGAGGCAGACTTGCTGAATGTGCCCTTTGAAGATGTAAATTATTATATATGCCTGAGTGGTTTTTTTGTTTGTTTTCTAAAAAGCTAAAGTGGATAGAGAGCTATACTGTTAACTGATAGTACATGGAGGGGATTATAATCAATGTAATGAAACTATATGATCTTTTGTAAAACTGATGATATGCCCTGTAAACTTTCACTCAATCCTCACTAAAAACCTTTTAAAAAAAAAAAAAAAGTGAAATGAAACTGTTTAGGTAGAAGGAAAATATATAGGATGACAATTTGAGTGGTACAAATAAATGCAGTAGGCAAATACAAGACATTTCTTATCACTTTTTAGTATTTTAAAAAGATAACTGGAAAAAGGATATTGCAACTGAATGCTTAAAGCAAAATCAATAATGAGTTGTGGTGTTTATATCATATGTAGAAAAAAATGTAAGACAGCAAAGGACTAGAGGGGGAATATTACTATTCTCATATTCTTACATTATTCTGAAATAGTGTATTATTTGGAGGTGCTGTGGCAAGTTAAATGGAGTCCTGGTGGCACTGTAGGATCAGTGTACTGCTAACCACTAGGTAAGCAGTTCAAACCCACCAGTCACTCCATGAGAGAAATATGAGGCTCCAAGTTTTCATTTACAGTCTCAGAAATCCTATATAATTGCTATGATTGTGAACTTGGTGGCAGTGGGTTTGGTTTTGAATGGTAAGTTAAAAGTCCAGGGGAAAGTTATTGTGCTGGCAAATGCTTTAGTATATACATTTTCACCACGGTTAAAAAAAAAAAATCCCGGACACTGAAAACATACACGAGACGCAACCAACTTTGGAAAACAATATGGCAGTTCTTCAGAAGGTTAAACAAAAAGGTTACCCCATTAGCCAGCAATCCCACTTGGAGGTTTATAACAAAGAAAAGCATGTTCACACAAAAGTTTGTACTTGAATGTTCATAGTAGCATTATTCATAATTAACAAAAGTGGAAACATTCATGATAAACAAAATGTGGTGTGCATCTAGAAAACAGAAGACTAACATATGCTATAACATGGATATATTGATGGCTAACATGGATAATGAAAACATGCTATGTGAAAGAAGCCAGTCTTCTTCATATGAAATGTCCACATAGGCAAATCCAGAGTAGATTTGTGGCACCCAGAAGCTGGGTGAACACGGAACAGGAGTGACTATTAATGGGTAAGAGGTTTCTTTTTGAGACAATGATAATGTTCTCATACTAGACAATGGTGATGGTTACACAAATCTGTGAATAAAGTAAAAACCACAAAGCTGTACATTTCAAAAAGGTGAATTTTATAGAATGTTATAAACCGGAACATAACTGTTCAGGATAACCACCACCACCACCCCCAAAAAAAAGAATAAAGCTAAACAACAACTAGTCAATTTCTTTTCTAATAAACAAAGCTAGCTTTGCAGCTCCCCACAGCTTCCCCTCTGGCCCTGCCCAGGTGTCCTCAGAGGCCATTCACGCTTTTCCTATATAATGCATGTCCTCTGTAGATGTCTTTTTCTCATTTATAGAGCAGGTCCCACAACAGGCACTATATATAGTGGAGACCTTATGAAATCCATGGCCATTATGGATAAGTTGTATTTCATTAGTATTCTTAGCAAAATATGCATTTACTCTCATAAATGAAATGCTGCCACACAGTATGGCCACAAGAAGTTATCAACCCATAGAAAAGGTCCTAAAGATGGTGGGAGAAGAAAAAAGATTGACTTCTCTCTAAGGATCTCTGGAAGCATAGTGGTTACGAGTCAGGCTGCCAACCTCAAGGTCAGCAGTTCAAAATTACCAGCAGTTCCATGGAAGAAAGATCTACAGCCTCGGAAATCCTGTGCAGAGTCAGTATGAGTAGGAATCAACTCCATGGTACTTACCAACAACAACAAGGAGCTCTGGTAGCATACTGGTTACCAGTCAGGCCACTAACCTCAAAGTCAGCAATTCGAAACTACCAGCTGTTCCGCGGGATAAAGATGAAGCTTTCTGCTCCCGTAAAGATTTACAGCCTCAGAAACCCTGTACAGGGTTGCTATGTGTTGGAACAGACTCCATAGCACATGACCACCACCAGCACCAAGGCCCTCAAATACCAATGAGAGATGGCCAACAAGAGGGAGGGGGTCTGAAATAGAGGGCTTCAAGCAAGGATCACATAAGTACCTGTTTCTGGAGCTACAGGAAGATTATGAAAACTCGATGCAGTGAGTAATGAGGGTAAATATTTTCAAATAGAATCAACTCAACAGCAGTGTTTTACTTGGTATTTTCAGAGAGATCCTAAATTCCAAAAAAGCCCAAGTTTGAAGAAACAGAGTTAGTGCTTACAGTTGAGTTTAAGTAGCTTCCCATCAGTTGCAAGTGAATTGATATCAGCTGTTCCACAGGAATTCACAAGGCTGAAGCTAAAAAGCCTTTTTGGGCAGTGCTGGCCTTTGACTTTTTGGATGGTCTCACTGGAGTCACTCCCCAGCTCATCCTCTCCACTGCCTTCTGTTTCTGAAAGTTGCTCTTTGCCTTCTTCCTGATGTTCCATTTCTTCTTCTTCTCCTGACACACAAATGAAAATAATGTGTATATAATTTGCTGCCATTTCAATATTAAAAATTAATTTAAAACATAACTGTGGTGGCGTTCCATCTATTTTTTGTTTGTATATTGTTGCTATGAAGTATTGTCGAGTCAGCTCTGGCTCACAGCAACCCTGTATAGTGTTTTTGAGGAATAGCTAATGGGTTTGAAGTGTTGACCTTGCAGTTATCAACTGGGTACTTATTCTACAAGACAAAGCAGGAGTACGTTTTGTGTGTATAAAAGTACCTAGAACCCTTTGCATTTACAAGACATTCACTTCAGTCATCACAGCCCTGAAAGACAGGCAGAGTGGTGCGGAAGCGGAGGCTCAGAGATATTCATGAGTCACCCAAAGGCACAATAGGGGGAGTCAGCAGTCCTGCCAGACAATCTGGGTGTCCGTACCACTTATTTGTCTACTGGACTTCACACCATATGGTTTCACTCTTTTACTTCACCACTGGGTCTACATAGAGGAAGGGACTAAAATGAAATACCTACTCAACATGCAAGAGGACTGTTTGATAAGAAATGCAATTACAAAATTAAGTTTAAGATAATATAATGAACACAAACACTAAGTAAGCAGTTTCTTTCAAAGAAATATGTGCTGTATGTTCCTTCAACAAGTGTTCACTGAATACCTCTTAGGGGCACATGTTCCTCCTCTCATGGGCCTATAGTCTAAGGTGAAAGTTAAATATCATTAAGTCATTTCAACAAAAGATAAAATAAATCAAAAGGTAATATAAAAGTTAACAGGGGGAAGAGAAGATTTAAAATGTAGAGTTTATACTCTCAATTGAAGTATCAGTAAAAATGAAAACTCTAAAGAAAGGAAGCTGTTCTACATGAAAAAAACCCTTTTTAAAGAACAGTGCACCTTGGAAGTGTTCACAAGGAAAAAAAAGCTGTGCCCAGGACAATGCAAAGTTTTCTTTCAGACCACAGGAGCAGCATACTCTTGGATGACAGTGGAATGTGCTCATTAGCATTACTCCCAAACAGACAGCTTGCATGAGACTACAGCCCCAGCTCCCACAGGGGTTCCTTTCCTGCCTCAGCTCATCTGACTCCTGAGGCAGAACAGCCCTGCCCTTTCCACACAGGCAAGCGTGGTCCACTCTTACTTAGGCGAAGGAAACCCTGTCCTGCCTGATGCCTCTGGAGAGAGAAAACCAAAACTTGCTTACACCTACTGCATCGATGAGCAGAACCTTGACAACCCAATAAGAACTTTGTCCTTGGCTGTGCCACTGGCTGCAATTACCTGAACATTATCAGGAACCTTCTGCTAATACTGCCAGAATCAAATGCCATTAAGTGTATAGGTAAACATTTCAGTATCTTTCAATTCCATTTTTCCATGAACTTTCTGAAGCTCCCTCCCGTATGAAAGGTGAGAAGGAAAAGTAAAGCAGGGTCCACTGAGAGCAGCCATCCAGTCACCCAGAGAATTTGCAGGGGACCTGAAGATCAGCTGCTATATGCGAAACAAGGAGCTGTCTTTTAGGTGGTGGTTTCACCATTAAATGGGGTCTAAAGTTTACACATAAAGACTCATTTGTAGGATACAAGAGAAAGTAGTAATTCTTTCTGACCAGGTAACTAGCAATATCTAAGAAGAAGAGCTACTTAAAATACTGGCAAAATAAGATATTATTATTAAGAACCTACTATGTACCAGGTATTTTAAAGACTTTCTCCAAATTGTAATTGCAAACCTGTGAAGCAGGTGCCATCATCTTATTTTGCAGAGGGATGAACTGACTCATCCAAGTCCACACCACATTTTGAGGTGGGACTCACAGTGCCTAAACTACACAGACCGAGAATCCACGGATCACCCAGGGTCTACTTCGAGATCTCCAGCATCATGCTCAATACCTCTCTACCTGTGGGACGTGTGTACCAGATACATTCCTGTTCACTCTTAGGCAAAGGAGAAAGCATAAGAATCTGATAATAAAACCTATTCAACTTTAAAATAAAATACCAACAACAACTTGGAATGTCCCATGACAACCAAACCTAGAGATCATTATTTTAACTGTCAATTCTCAATGTCAGGAGTCCTGTTGTGGCACTGCAGGATAATGCATTGAGCTGCAGGGTTGGCGGTTCAAACTCATCAGCTGCTCCTTGGGAAACCCATACAGGGTCACTGTAAACTTACAATGGCGCTTAACAACAACAACTCAATGTCTAAGATTATGCATGTGCTGAAGAAATCTGGACATTTGGATTTGCAATTAAGGGACATTATGGCACTAACTTAGAGGATATTTACAGTTGAAGGGGAGCAAAGCCAGTGAATCACCTAAGCCCCTAAAAGAAGAGTAACAGCCAAGTACAGGCCACAAACAGCTTGGTCAGGGACAGACTTGTCAGCACCCAGCAATAGGAGGATGGTGAGGGTTCTGGATTTCCTGACCGAGACTATGCCACTGCTTTTCAGACTGATTTCTTTTCCTCCCACAGCAGGAGCTGCCTAGAGCTGATCAACACCTATGGCTTCCTGAGCAAAGAAAAGACAGACACCCAAGAAAGCTAGTATCTGCCTTGTAATTGCCTGAGACACCAATTAAGGATTGCCAACCAAGCTTGGCGAGCAGGTATTGGCTGGGTGATTCCATACTGTAGTGACATGCAACACCCATGGTTAGCAGCTCTACCAACAGATATCAGGTTATGGGAGCAGTCATGTGTTACGTAAGCACATGGTCTGTAATCTCAACAGATCCAAATTCAAATCCTGAATGTCTAGTGACTTTAGGAGAGTTACTCAATTCCTCTAGATTCGGTCTGCCTGAGGTGAAACTTGGCCTATACCCAGAGGTCTAAAAGAGAATTCCATGAGGTACTGAAGTTAGACAAGTATTGGCTACTGGAAAGGTGTTGCAGGTGTCCCAGGACTGTGGCTCTAAGCAGAGCCCCCAACCCAGCCTGAGAGCCCCCTCTCCCAAGTGGACAACACTGTGGAAGAAGAGGGAGGTCAGCAGGGATATGGTCAGTCACAGCCCCACATCATGGTGAGCGCTCACCTTCACAGCTGCCCCTGGAGCCATTGCAGGTCCCCGGCTCCAAGGGCGAGCTGCCAGACTCACCAGGCAATGGCTGTTTTATATAGCGGCTTAAGAAAAAGAAAGGAAAAAAAGATGGTTAGCTGGAACATTTACCTACTTTTCTCTTTTACTCAGCTAAGAAAAAATTCACAATTTATATATAAAAATATACTCAAAAGCAGTTTATATAAGTATTTTAAAATCATATAATGACAACATTTTTAGAAACTGAGAGAAATCCCAAAGATCTCATGTATAATTGAGTTATCAAGTCACTGAACAATCCAAAGTCTGTTTCATTCATTCTATGAATGTCATATGGCACGAACATTTTAAAAGGATTTCTCAATAATGTTAATTACCACCTTCAGAATGAGAGGGAAGCACCTCACAAATAGTATTAAAATATAAAATGCTATCAAACCACCAGACTCCCTAAACCAAGTGACTGACAGGTATTACAGAAATGATTCTGTGGTCCACCCAGCTTCGGCAACCAGTGTCTCCATCCAACAGCACTTGGTTTTCCCAGGGGCTAACATTACTGCATTTATTACAGACTTAAGCCTACGGGATCACAAAGGCACTTCACTACTATTATTGGATTTATCTTGATCTCAAGTAACAACAAAATCACATCCCCACCACCAACCTGATACGTTCACAAACCGCCTTATACAAAGACTCGAGAGTTAGCTTGTGCTTGGGGACAGAAACCAGCAGTGGCTGGCCATACAGCACTGCCCCAGAGGATGTGCTCGATGGTCTGGATTTCCTCTCCCTGAAGTAGACTGGCAGTGTGACATATTCTGAGTCATCCACAGAGGTGCTGCTGACTTCATACCTATGTCAATCAGACAAGAGGACACCCTCAGAATTGGGTCTCTATGAGTAACAAAGATCTTAACTATAACTATGTGGTGATTACTAAAACAGGGCATACCTTAGCAGAAAAAAATGGAGAAAACATTTCCAAAATGATTTTAGAAACTGGGTAAGGGAGCCCAAGGAGTATCATTGTCCATACAATGTGAATTATACAATCCAAGACTTAGGGTAACTGATCATTGTTAACCCAACCAAAACCTCAAACTCTTTGATCCTTCAACTGGAACTTGGCACATAGATGATGGCTGTCATCCAGAGCATCACTCTGGACACAAAGGTACCTAAGTGACCCAAAGGTCATCTCTTGTCACCAAGGAACTCAACTATTAAAAATACATTTTCAGTGCTCTAAACTTCAAAGAAGCAAATTTATAGATTTGACATCTTTCTTCAAAAACATCGTGTAAAAGAATCACAAACATTTTCAAAAAAAAATCAGAGATAACCATTGTTGTTGTTATTCAGTGCCGTCAAGTTGGTTCCGACTCATAGCAATCCTGTATAGGGTTTCCAAGGAGGGCTGATGAGCTTGAAGCACCAACCTTAAGGTTCAACCCAACATTGCAGTCCAGTGCATTAATCCACAGTACCATACGAAGACTCCGGAGAGATAACCATGTTGTTAAGTGCCGCCGAGTTGGTTCCAACCCAGAGTGACCCTGTATAGGGTTTCCAAGGTACGGTTGGTGAGCTTGAACCACCAATGTTGAGATTCAAATAACTTTACAGTTCAGCGCATTAACCCACAGTGCCACACCAGGACTCCATAGAAATCATTAAATACAAATTAATGATTTCGAGAATTTGTGTAACAGAAAGAGGGGAGCAGTTAACCTTGCATTCTAGGACAGTAAGGGTATGACCCACATTCAAGTCTCCCTGAGCGAGTAGTTGGCTGGGAGCTGAAGGCAAGCTCTCACCTGACCCTACCAGGTAGAGTGACACACAGGCGCTATCATCATCAACAGACACACAGACATGACACAACAGCACATGGGAGGGACCCAAAAGACCTCCAGATGCAAAGTGTACTGTCCCCAGTGAAAGGAGACCTGGTGGCTCAGTAGTTAAGCACTTGGCTGATAACCAAACAGTCTAGAGATTCAAACCTACCAGCTGCTCCACAGAAAAAGATGTGGCAGTATGGGAAACCCTATGAGTTAGTTGTACCCTGTCCTAAAGAGCTGCTGAGTCAGAATCTAAGTAGTAGTGGTCCCCACAGATATAAGAACAATGGACTCTCAGCTCACTGAATATAAGAGTTGTGAAAGACTTTAAATTAGCCCTCCTTGTCATTTCTCAGCTGGAGTTCTGTGGTCCCAAAGGAGCCTACCAGTGGAGCCTTGGCCTGTTGGAGACAAAATTCTCCTTGTCCATGGCGTCCCACAAAGCTGTGATCTTCTTGACAAAGGCATATGTGACAACAAGATCATCTGTAAGACCACTGAATAGGCTTTCTTAACAGGTAGCAAGTATTGACAAAAGGCTGCATTCCAGCCAAGGAGAATTCTCTGAATGGGTACTCAGCGCGGACTGCTGCCCATAATCTCCTGAATAGCCTGTCCCCAAGAGCCAGGGAAAGGAGCTCTAGCTTAGTGGTTACGAATCGGGTTGCTAATCTCATGGTCAGCAGTTTGAAACTACCAACTGTTTCGGAGGAGAAAGACAAGGCTTTCTGCTTCTGTAAAGATTTACAGCTTTGACCCTGTACAGGGTTCACTATGAGTCGGAACTGACTCCACACGGCACGTAACAATAACAAGGGCCAGGGAATAACTACATGAACATTGATCGATAAAACTTCTCCTCTGAAAATACAAGACAAAGACTTTAGAATATTTCATTCCGACTCTCAACATAAACTGAGTACTCACACAAAAATGTCATCCCGAGGCATGATGTGGTTTAAACCTTCATCCATTTGAAAAATTTTGTGAAACCGATGATTATAGACATCTGTGACCACCATCTAAGAGTCAACAGTAACAGAAAGAGTATAAGATGGACAAGATTGTCCATATTAATAAACTGCTTAAAATTCCAGGAAAAAAATGATAAAAACAACAAACGCCCTGCTGGAGGACCACGCTTCCCAAGGCTTATGAAGATACCGGCTCTTGGGTGATAGGATTAGTGGGGAATGAGTTCCTGCCTAGAGACTGGTCTCCAGTCTACACTCAGCATGCAATGGAATGGGCCAAACCCCAACCGCCTAAAACTAGCAGTGACACAAGAGGGGTGGGGAGTAGACACTGACCAAGACAGGGACTGGGACATGGGTCTGGGACTGGTGCTCTTAGTATTTCACAGGCTTCTCAGGCTACCTATCAGCCAAAACTGGGACCATCCAGAAGGATGGTCCTTGGCCCAAGGAGAGGTCATCACTTCCCCGGCCTCTCCACAGTGCCAGGTGCAGCAGACTGCCCAGCATGGGCAGCTGTTTCTGAATGAAGATTTTTGAATGAAGAACATCACAGTGTCACACCATAAACTGATGGAGTTTTAGGCAGGAAGGAACTTCCAGGCCCTCATTTTACAGAAGAGGAGGGGTTGCAGAGCTGAGAGCAGAGCCTGACTCGTACCCAAAAAGACTATCTCAGCCACAATGAGTAAGAGTCATGAGGTCTCGAATTTCCAGAGAGAATCACATTTGGACAGGTCAACAACTACCCCCAAAAAGTAGCTACAAGTTTTGAACTCCAAAAATCTATGAAGAATCCCAATGAACAGAATGCCACTAACGAGCCCATCTTACGTTTTCTGCAGCAATTCCAGACAGCCTGGAGAGAGCCTCGCACAGGTCTGACACAGCCCCCATCAGTGGCACGGTCACACGGTACTGCAAAAAGAGATTATCAAGGGACAGGGAGTGTCTTGGGTAGGACTGGAGACAAGGTGGGAGGAGCCAGTGTTGCTGAGGGGAGGGGTGCCCTTCCAGAAACAGTGTATGATGAGGTCAAGGCCCAGATGAGTTATCAGCAGAGCCAACAGGGAAAGACTGCATCTCTTTATGCATGCAGCAGCACAGGAGCATCGACACCTCTTTCTCCTCCCAAACAGTCATTTTATTCTTAACTTTCTAGAGAAGTTCATTACTTCCTTTACAGAGTTATTAAAACTATGCAAATTGCCATCCAGTTGTACATATCATCTTTCTTTTGAGATGATGAAACAAAGTCATAAAGAGAGCCATTAACAGACTGGACATGACGACTAGCTGGTCCCACATTTCATCTGGCCTTTTGATCTGGTCATATTTTACTAGCTGACTTAGAGGTGAACTTGACCAAGGAGAGTACCCTGCTTCTGGTTTGTCAACTTTCAGATTCAAGGACCATTTCTGGCAGATGAGCTTACTTTAATCCTACAAATGGAAGGAGGAAAAAAGTGGCAGAAGTCAAAGGACCTTCACAGTAGGCTGGCATGATAATGGGATTACACAGAAGCCAAAGTGCCTAACACTCAGCAAGTGCTAAGGAAGCTTCTGATGCAACAAATGGAAGCAGCTACACCCCAGGTCTAGAGACCAGGGAGGTACCATGAAGGTGCATATTCTGTTACCTGTGTAGGTCTGCAGCAAGGGTTAGCAGGAACCAAGAAGACCTCCATAATTCGATCTTTCTTCAAGGGCAGAGGGAGAGTTAAGTAGCAAAATGGGTCAAAGGTCACAGAAACTTTAGCACATTCTGGACAAACCAAAGTGGATTTAAAGAGGCCATGAAAAGTGTCCACAATCACAGAGTCATTTCTCAACCTGTGATTCTCCCAGGCTTCCTTTGCTACCACCTGGAAGAAAAGAAAAAGGGTAAACAGGACATTCTCCACATACCTGTCTTTTATCCCTGCATCTACAATGACTCACAGCCACAGCCAGAGAGGAGCTGGGAGGCAATCTGTCAGCCAAGAACTCAGTATAGGCAGGCAGGGCAGGACTACTTTTAGCAGACCATACTCATGCCACATACCAGTCCTACGCCCCATTCCAAATTTAACAAGATGTCAACGCAGGATCTGTGGGAAGCAAGAAGTCTGTGTGTCCTCTGATGGGAAACATGCCTTGAGAGCATCATGGGCATATGCTCCTGATGAGAATAAGGACGACCTACCATGGAATGTTTGATAATACAATTTTTTTTTATTTTTTTTTTTTTAAAAAGACATAGCACTTATTTTTCACACTAAATTACAGCTGTGCCTGCACATATTAAGCTCATTGGAGGTAATGTTATCAGATAACCTTCTCCCAGGACCAAAATTACCTGGAAATTTTGATGTTTAACTTCTCACTCATTAAACCAAAACGAATAGCGTCATGTTACTTCTATTTATAGCTCAAGAAACTGAAATCATTCATCATTTAACCAATAATCTATTAACAGATTACTCAGTCGTAAAAGAGTTGATTGTAACTGCCTTTTATAATGTGGTGAGCCTTTAGAGCTAACCAGTAAACTCACTTGCTAACCCAAATTTTTTTTGTACTGCTGCATAACGATGGAAAAAATTTTCATACAAAATAGCTTTAAAGAGTTTCAAGTATTAAAAAAAATACGCCTATGTCCATCCTAAGAAATTCTGAGACTATGACTACACTTGTGGAGCTTATATTCTAGAAGGCACAGACAATATTTATTCAAATAGTTTGTCTCATAGTGATTCCAAGAAGGAAAACAGATCAAAGAGAGGGTGGAAATTTTTACCATTTTAAACAAGGTATGATGTTTCAGGTTAATGCGCTGAACCACCGGATCAATTTGAACCACAAAGTCGGTGGTTGAAGTTCACCAGCTGCTCCTCAGAAACCTATACAGGGTCACTATGAGTCGGACCCGACTCAACAGCAATTAACAACAACCCCTTAGTGTTTATCCTCAATGAGTGTTAAGAATTTACTACACAAAAATTTCATTTCCCAAATGATTAACACTTCCACTGTTTTTCAGATTACTACTATGTCCTTCATAAACTTCTTCACTTGAATTCACACTTAATATAACCTATACACCCAACACTGCTTATCTTTAAATAGTTTCTTTGAAATTTCTCGAACACAGGCAGGAGGCAACAGATATAAGACAATCTTTACAATTATGCCTTATGCCAACTGGGAGTTTCCATTTCTTACCTTTTTTATCAACATTACTATGAACAACAAACTCGCCTCTAAAGATGTACTCATAGTACTTTTTTATAAAGTAACTTAAAACAATTGTTTTCCCTACCGAAAAAAAAAAACTATAAACTTGCTATAATTATCTGATTTTTTTTTTTTTTTTTTTTAACTGAGAATGTGGGACACTTACATGGATTAAAACTCACAAGGGGCAGAGAACAAACAAGATGGCGGGATCGGGCAGAAGTGCAGTGAGGAGCTCTGTCAGCAACAACAGAATACCAGACCAAGCATGCTCAGGGGATGGTACCAGAACTCTGAACCACATATAAAGGATTATGTAGAAAGTTGGAAGGCTTACAGCTAGGGAAATTTGTAGCACAAGCAAAAAATCCATTGCTTTCTAATTCAAGATGCTCAGCTGCTCCCAGAGCCACCATCTTGGGTGAGACCAAGCAGAGGAAGGATCAGAGCAACCACGGATGGATGCTTGACAGAACCGCAGCTATAAAGGTGTGGACATTGTTTTTTGTTTCTGTATCTGTTCATTGGTCTCTCCCTGTCTGTGCACCTCCATTCTGGCAACCAGAGGGCATGCATGAACGAGTGGACACCCCACCCCCAAACCAGAGGGTTCTACTATGCATATGCACAGACCTCAAAATTTAAAGAAACAGTTTCCACTTAAAACC